AAAAAAAAGTCAAAAACTATTTAAAACTCCCTGCAGATAACTACCTTTAACACAAGAAAAAAAAAAGTTGAAAAACTTGCAAATCAAGACTTGAAATTTTAGCACTTGCACCCGTCAGTACAATCGCAACAAGAAGAGAGACACACCAAGACCAAAACAAAAACCAAGTAAACAAAAATAAAAATTGGATCTGGCAATAGATCTACACTGATACAATCATAAACAAACGAAGTTGAACTGGTTGAGCAGTATCATACTACTAAGCACTGAAATCCTCTGTCGTTGACAGAGAGGAGAGAGCAAGTAGGGTTACGGTCAGCTACGAGAAACCCTTTGTCGTTGACGAAGAGGAGAGAGCAAGTGAGGCTGCGGTCGGCTACGAGAAACCCTCTATTGTTGACGGAGAGGAAAGAGCAAGCAGGGCTGCGATTAGCTGCGAGAAACGCTTTGTCGTTGACGGAGAAGAGAGACCAAGCGGGGCTCTGGGTAGCTACGAGAAACCCTCTGTCATTGACGGAGTGGAGAGACCAAGTGGGGTTGGCGTCAAATGGGTTTTTGAATTTTGGGTTTTTGAGTTCAAATGGGTTTGAATGAATTTTGGAGATTTGGGAAGGGTAGAAACATTTAGGTCTATCGGAGAGGGAAGCTTGGAAATTAGGAAGGGAGAATGGTGAATCTGTGGAGAGAAGTAAAAATGAAGCCTGCTGAAATTAACAAGGAGAAAATAATGTGGTTAAGAAATAGGGAATTATACCGACAGAACAGTAATTCGTCTGTATAAATACAATTATACAAACGGATAATAATTACCATTGGAATAGATATAGTTTATACAGACGGATGAATGGTAAACCGTTTGTATAAACCAAGTCTATACAAATGGATATATTTTTCCGTTGGTATAAATCGATGTATACTGACTATTTAAGTTTTCTGTTGGTATACATGGTTTATACAAACAGATTTTTGTCCGTTGGTATAGACTTCCGTTGGTACAAGGCATTTTACTTGTAGTGTTTTGATGCAATGAATATTTTAAGAACTCTATCAATATTTAATATACGCAGAAGAATAATAGTTAATGTTTGATAAATAATGCCATAAATATAATGAACATAATCACAAGTACATAAAATTGTCTTGTCAACCCAATTGGCTTATAAGGCACACTCTGATATGTAGAACGACCAATTGAGTGAAAAATATTAATGAAAGTTGATAGAGGTTGAACTAATTAAGTGAATCCTGAAGTTTTGTTTATCTTAATATATATATATATATATTTTTCACTCTTTAATCATTATCGCTTTTATTTGAATATTTTTAATTTGATCTTTTAAAAATTATCTTTTAATTTAATTCTTTGTAGTGACAACTCTTTGGATTGATTTAAATTAACTTTATTGAGGATTCAACACTTAAAATTATAATAAAACAATCGATTAGCTGAGGGTATTAATTTTGGGCAACACTCCACAATAGAAACATTCTTCCTCATCTTAATTCTTACTAGATCTAGAAGCCTTACCCACCAATTTTGGTTGACGTCTTTTATTGTTAGAGAGAAGCCTTACCCACCAATAAACTTTACACTAATTTGTAAGAGCATGGCAAATATGCTAACAAAAGCTTTTCCTCATCATCTATCCTCCGTTTCATTTTTTTTTTTTAACAAATAAAAATTAAATTAAAATTAGGCAATAGAAAGCTTACTTCGACATTTCATCATCTTGTCTCCAGCATTTTCCACTTGTATCACCAACATGTGGATGGGTCAACAAATGGCTCCCCAAGTGCTTCTCCTGCAAGTCGATGCCGTCGGGATGACTCGGGGCAGTGACTTTTCGGGTTCATACAGAAACTAGGTGAAGGCCACGCTATCTGAGTCTAGTTATTCGTCACATATGGAAAGGAATGGAGCTTGGCTGATATTAGCGGTGTCGGTGGGTCCTTATCGAAACCGATTCAATTCCTTGTGGCAACCCGGTTGCTAGCAAGCGAAATAGGGCACAACACGTTGGCATATCAATAATTAATTGTAAGGCCTCATGGAAAATGACTGGATATGTGAGGTAAAACACACCTTATGTGAGAGGAAATGCGAGGTAAAACACAAATTATGTGAGAGGAATTCTTGTGCTAATGTAGTGGCGTCTTGCTTCTAACATCCAGACAGTGGTTTTCGTTTCTTTGAGTAGCCACCTGACCTGGTTTAGGGAGCATTTATGGGAAGAGAAGATAGAAATTTATAGGCTTCTTCCCTCTTGATAATTTTTAGTGATGTCACTGTCCCTTTTTACCAGAGGAAAGAAAAATGAAAAGAATAGCAGTAGCCATGGTTTATACATAGGAGGAATCAATATCAGTGGGCACTGCTCATGATCCAATTTTGTATTACGAATTATTATCTTATATTTAAAAATTGCAAAACAATTTGCAGCAATTACTCCATAAACAGACCATTTTAATGTTAATACTCAATTTTCAAATAACTATCATTTTTTTATTCAAAATTTGTCTTAAACTAATTTTGATTTTTTAGGGAAAATAAACACTTCTTTTTCCTAACATATCATCAACATTTCCTATTTATCTTTAATTCTTTAAAGGCAAAATATGTAAATTCTTAATCTGCAAAAAAAATCAAAAAAATTAAAACAATAATTATTTTAAGACAGAGAGTACTTATTATATATTTTCACAACAAATTTAAGAAAACTCAGGTAACAGTTGATTTTAACACTGTCGGATTCATTCATTAAGTCAATGACAATCACATTGAAGCATGCAAAAATAATTGGGCATAAACTACCAGCACCACATACTGTTGGTCAAAAATAAAACCAGATACATTCGAGATCTCACCCCCACAACCTACCGTTCCACAAGACGTCAACAATTATGGACAACGAAGCCAAAATTGGCAACCATTGTTCTGTATAACAGATATCATACAATTATATACTGCACAATAAAAAAAAAAAAAGAAATGGATTTATCAAATGATATCTGGACTTCTGAGTATGTTATCCAACCTCATTTTTTACCCAGTAGACAGGCATTACATACAGACATGTCTCCATCACACAGTTTTTAGTATCTGCTGATAAACTCAAGATGGAAAAAAATTAAAGAAAACAACACTAAGAAACAAAGAGAGAGAGAATTTACTGTGTTGAACTCTTCCATGGTAAGTAAATTGATGGTTGAATCAGGGTGGACATGTTATAAGGCGTTTTCTTTGAGTTAAATAGCAATACTAATTTTCTTCAGTCCTTCCCTCTTCGGCTATCTTTTCTTTTTTTCCGTCACTTTTTTGAAGAAAGCAGCGTTGATGTTTCAAAATTCTGGAAGACTTGAAGTATCTATGAACTGAAACTTTCTATCCTCCATAGGCATTCTTTTCTCAAAGGTGAGTCCGCAAATATGGCTCTGATAAAATCTTCCAACTGTATAAGTTAAGCAGCAGTAGAAGCATTAAAAAGTGGAGAGTGGTCATCAAATAACCAAAAAAAAAGGGAAAAAGGTGAAACTAACATGTAGAATACGGGAGGGAAATAACAATGATAAATAAAACCATTTTTCAAAAAAGGTAAAATGATATATCTTGTTTAATATGGCATCTCAAATAATGAAGTAAAATAAAAGAATAAGCAAGTTTTTTCAGAGATTGCAAGCATGGTTTTAGAAAATGAAATGGAAAGCATAATATTGGTTGAAATCCAATTGATGCCAGCTAAAATAAGTTAAGCCATACCTCTTCTCTGGTGAAACCACAGCTAAGTAGTTCTCCACTTTCCCAAGCAGTTGTAATGGATTTTAGAGGCATGTCCAACAATTCTGCAAAATTTAAAAATGGGAAAAGAAAATCATATTTAAACAGCAAGTTATTTTCTCATATTGGGAGTCAGACATCAAATAGTCTACCAAGGTTAAGAAGACTAAGCAAGAACAGGAAAACATGCCTTCCAGTTTACGGATTTTGGGTAAAGATGGTACAACATTGCCAAGAGGGCATATTGAATCCTTTTCAGACTTTCCCTTGGGTCTCATGGCAATTAGAGAGTCCAGCAGAGAAGACAAATTTTCCAGCATCAAATGGATTAGTCTTTGGAGCTGGTCAACAATTTAGGGGATTAGATATAATAATAATCAACTATACAAACTTATAGGTCATGTTGGGTAGAATGGAGTGGACAATCCTTGGTCAAACAATAAAAATAAGGTAAATAAGATAAATATCAGGGGAAAGGAGAAATCAGTCCAGACCAATGTCTCTTTACAGGACCCATGTCACCTCCTTTGTAATTATAAAAGTACTTTTATACCATTCTTTGTACTTGAGTTTTGTCTGGACTAATATCAGTACAGAGTGATTTCTCCTTTCCCCATAAGTATGGAATAACTATTCCATATTATTATCAATTTTCTTCTAATGAGTTAAAAGAGGGAAGAAATAACTACGACCTAAGAAGAGGTGTTACTAGGTATTCCCCTCCTTTCAAGCTAAAAGAAAAATGGTACCTCCATGAAATAGGTAGTCTTTATTTGCTATGATTTCTATACAACTTATAGCTTATTTTTTACCAAGGAATGGTCATTTTCATCAACCAAAAATACTCTAGATGTAAACAATGACAAACAATCTAATATGCCATGCCATACCTGTAATGTTTCTTCTGCTGCCAGATCATCAAGGAGAAGCATGTCTTTTGTGATTCTGGAAAAGACTGACTCTATAACTGTACACATACTTCTTTTATATGTTGAAGGCAACAGTAAGGGCTCCCATATAATATGTACTTTCTCAAGAATGAAAACAACCTGATCATGAACCATTGAATGAAAGACATACAATAAAAGCAGGAGAAATGTACCACTTAATAACAACATGCTACCTGATCCATGCTAAACTTTGCAGATTGAAATTGCTGCATCTGATGGGTATTCTGAAATCCATCAGCACCATCTATAGCCTAATAGGATAACAAGATATGCGAAGAGTTACTTGTAGAGGCATACAATGATAAAAACTTAAGCAAGTGCTAAATACATAAGATGCATATAGGCAATTTTACCTCTCTCAGATTAAATATAACAAGTTGGATTTGCCTCTGCAGTGCTTCTTCTGCCATAAGATGAAATTTTGGAGCCATATCAGCAAACACAGCATGCTCCTTAATGTTAATAGGAAAATCTGCTCGATACTGAAATGTGGGTTTTAAATAGATTATTAGATAAGAAAACACAACAATATAATTACTAAAGCTTTTAACTAAAGAAAATTAATTAAAAGAATAATAAATTTGCCAAGCTAGTACTTGTAGCAGCATAGTGGAAAATTATAAGAATATACAAACCATTGAATGGCCAACAAAGAAGACATAGTAATGCAGATTCAAAATATCCATAAAACTATTCAAGCCATGTACCCATAAACAATCTGTACATACCTCAAATGCAAGCCCAAGAATTTCTTGAGATAAATAATGACAATCATTGTGCATAAGAACAGCTACTTGGTTGATGCCATCAAGCTGCCTTTCTAGCTTCAAAATTCAAAAGTGAAAGGTTAGCAACATAATCATGGTGCACATGAGAAAGCTAAAAATTTTTATATATACTAATCTAGCTCTTCATGTAGCTTTCTGAACAATCTACATTCAAGATCAAATGTGAAAGAATTTCTAAAAAAAAGAGAAAAAAGGGATCAAATAAGCTAGAAGAGCTTTTTTGCACAATGAAGATTGTTCACAAAATTTCTGAAATTAAATCATTTATAAAAATAGATTTATAAAATAGATATGAGAATTAAACCAAACAAACCTAATAGAAAAATTGCTCATTGAGATACTCTTGCTTTCAATCAAGCGAATTTTTTACAACTAAATATATTAGAATTCAAGAAGACAGACAATACTTTAGGAGTCAAACCTAATGGAAATATTCAAGAGATAAGAAATTATAATTGATAGATAATTATTATTAATCAAATACATATCCAAATCAAACAAAGCATCATATTTCTGGCTCTAATATCTTAAATGTTGAATATGCAGAGACATATTCAAGCCTACTCTTATTGAACAAATCTTTGGTATTATAAAGCATATTACACCATGTATTCATATATACCTATGCACACGCCCATGCATTGTAACATGCTTAAATATCAAAAAGTATTCTAAGCAACCTCGACAGGAATAGCGGGTTCAAGGAACCAACCTTGACAGGAATAATAGCTTCATAAAGAAGCATGGCATCTCTGCCAGTACGATAGAATTCCAGAGCAACTCTTGGGGATGACAAGCAAACATCCTAGGAGAAAAGGCATTAACAATGGCTTGAAGTTCAAATACATATATCAATGCAATAGGTCAATCACATGACATAACACAAGCGCAAGGTAGTTTTAGGAAGTCCAAATAAACAGTTGGCATATCTAAAGATCAAGCACATGCAATAAAGCAGTTTGAGTAAGCTTTCTAAAAATTTTGACTTTCGTAAGAATCAGTAGGTAGGAATCCAGATTTCAAAATTGTAAGTTCCTGATATTTTTAACTGCCTTTCCTACATTCCTGGTATTAATGTTAGGCAAAACATTCCATTAAGCCCCAAACTTACCCCAGATTTTCAATTAAGCCCCCAAACTTTTATTGAAGCAAATAAGCCCCTAAACTTGGCGATTTGGGCAATTTAACCCTTTTCCTTACAATGGACTTAATGCCCGTTTATGCCTTGCTTGCATGGACAAGCTCAATATTCACCACATAGGCAATGACATGTCAATACCTTATCCATGCAAATGAGGCACAAATGGGCATTAAGTTTGCCGTAAAGAAAGAGGGTTAAATTGCCTAGATTACCAAGGTCAGGGGCTTAATTGAGAATTTGGAGTAAGTTCAGGGGCTTAACATAGGGTTTTGCCTTTGTTACTTCAAAATAATGTCAAATCCAATGTTCATATGTGATCCGTAGCATGCACAAGAACATAATAAACCAACACTTTCTTTAATCAACAGCCATTTTATACATTGTCCTTTTATTTCCCCAGTTCATTTCGGAAGTTTAGAACAAAATTGCCATTAAGGTACCATGGAAAAACCTGCTATTGAAGTCCAAAAATTCCGGCAAATGCAACTCACTTAAGGAATGAATGGACATTGTATAAAATGGCTGTTCCATCAGTTACCACATTATGAAGTAATTATTTTATATTAATTACCTTGAGTGTCTGATGGACCAGCTCCATCAGTTGGGATGCTGCTTTTGATACTATACACCTCTCGGATGAGAAAAGCAAGTCAACAAACTGCTCAGAAGAATTTATAGCTTCTCCATCAGCCTTCACTTTAGAGCCTGTGGTAGTAGTACAATCCTGTAGAAAATTTTAATCATAAAGCGCAAGAAATCACTAGAAACATGTGATTTGTTGGTCGAAGCTCACTTGGGGAACAGAGAAGTCACACTGTAGAAGCAAATTTCTAGCTTTTGCTAGGATTTCTGCTTTTTTTCTAGCTGCAAAGTGCACCTCAACATTTTCAGCAAAATTGCTTAACCTGTTATCCTTGTTATCAGTTAAAGAAATGAACATCATTTTCTTCAAAGCAATTTCAAACTCAGTTGTCCGTTTGATTATCTTCTGAAAGTCAGCAAGTTTTGAAGCATCTTCAGGAACAACCTAAAAGGGATTCCATAAGTTAACTAATGCGTGACAAGGAGTAAAGAGACATGGCAAGAAATACACACAATAACAAATTAACAGATATGAATGGAAACAATGAACTCCTGAATACTCTAATTTAAGAAGCTTCCTTTCTGATCTACTTTTCACTTACAAAGATGTTGAATATTATGTATTTTCTTATTCTCTTTTTAATAGGGTCTCGCAGTTATGAAGCAACAATTTGCCAGCAGTATGAAGTCGAAGCCTCAAAATCATTAAATAGATTTCCCATGCCTGATCAATTGCATAAATTTTTGAAACATAGAATAAAAATTGCAATTCAATCATAACTTTGTTTAAAAAAAAAAAACCTATCCCTAAACAAAAAAATTGGGAAATTAGAACCAACAAAAACAATGAAACCTTTCTGGTGATAAATTGTCACTCAAAGGAAAATTTGGAGGTCTTTCTTTCTAAGTCATCAAGTTATTCCTATCAGTCACATATGGAAGTCTTTGTTTCCAAGTCCTCTAAAAAGCAATTTTTTAGAACCATGTTAAGCAAGAAAAGTTATTTTACAAATGACAATGAGTACCAATGGATATGTAAATAAGCACATCGCCAATCAGGTGAAAGCTAAATTATTGGATCTTGCACAGCCTGAGACATCAAAAGAACAAGATGCATAATTCAGCCTTCAAAACATCAAGGCACACTGTAAAGCAAGTTATTTATTTGGTACAATTTTCTTTCTGAAACAATTTAATCGTTTCTAAATTTGTCAAAAGAAAAAGTCTGACCATATTAATTTACCACAATTTAAAAATTTAGAACTTCAAATAACATTAATTTCAAATATCTGCAATATACACAAGCGACTCTGACATTCTGACATATTAAGCCTTGGCCCAAACACAATTTCATACAACAGTAAGACCATGGTCTTTTCAGCTGGGAAACCTGTCTGTGTCTCATTCTTATCCTTGGCTATAACATGTAACCTAATCCCATCATTACCATACCTCTTCTCCACATAAAGTTAAAAACTGATGGCTAAGTGCCTTTGCATGCTTACATTTTTTAAAAGCACCACCAGTAGGACAGTAGGACATTTCAGCAGCTATTTTTAAAGGCAGCTGCCACTAGCTCCACACTAAAAGCAGCTTCGCAATATTGTAAACATCGTGTTTTAACAGAGATTCATTTGTAATTACAATGTATATTTATGACTCACATAGAAAGACAGATTGTCTGATTGTTTGAAGGACAAATATGTACTGAAAAGTAATTCATAGAAACAATTTGTTCGGCCATCAATATACTGAATAAAAACTACTTATTACATCCCTACTTGCTGTAATTTTTAATAGATGTGTTCTCAACAACTACGATCTAGAAGCAACGTAGAAAAGAAATCACTGTTAGTTTGAGGCAATAAAATACAAACCTTTGAGAGAAAATTGGAGATAATCAGATCTGATATCCTTGGCCAAGTCAGTCTTCCAAAAGAATGGATCCAAGGACCATTTTGGAAGCATATGTACTTGAAAATAAACTTGATAACCTGAGTAACCCTTGAATAGATAGTCTCACCATCAAAATCTACACTCTAAAAGATTTATGGAAAAATGTCAGCACAACAACCAGAAATTTAACATACATCAGATCTTCAAAGATAATGCAAACAAATGAAATTTCAATATGCCAATCAACATTTTTATCTTGCCTACAATTAAATTTTTGTTTATGTGTGTCACATCAGCTTATTCATACCTCATTGCAGCAGAATCAGAGAAACCTAGTGGCTAGAATCTATAAAATGTTGCGAAAGAGCAATTACTTTGGTATCATGTGATGGTAATATCTTCAATACTGCCTCTGTCACTTCATCTGAGCCTTCATTTAGCTCCTCTAAAAATCTTGCAGGTGATCCATGATTTATAGATGGAGCGATAACATGCTTGATCATCAAGTCAGCTGCTTTAGCAAGACCATAATCCAAAATTTGAACCACCTAGTAAAAAAATCTTGATGTTGTTACTACATATTTAACCTAGCATCTTGATTAGATAATCATCAGAAATAATGGGCCCTTAACTAATCTTTTCCAACAAATGTTTCCCCTCCCATAGTCACACCCTCAACATTTTGAAAAATGTTTACAAAGCTGAATACTGCTTTGGCACTTGGTCTTTAGTGTAATCTATTGTCTTCTAACCACTTAGATAAAATATAGCAAAACCATAGCTGAAGTAAAGAACAATTAAATAACTAAAGACTCACTTCCATTGCTTCCAAAACTGCACGAAGCTCAATGCCATCAATTTCATTAACACATAACTGATACTTCACCCGCACTCTTTTCATTTCTGGCTCAAACTGAACTGCATTTTCAATGAACTTCACCAGCAATTCTTGCATCTACAAACCCAAATGAAATTCCTCTAAAAATATAACACCAAACTAAACCAAAAAAAAAAAAAAAAGGAAGAAGGGTGCCTAAGATATTCATGCAATGATCAAAGTATGAGATTTTGAGAAGAGAGTACCAATTTGGGAGATGAGGGAA